AGGAAGTGGAGATGAGATCGATTATATACAAGCAGAAAGAAGGAGGATAATGAGCAACAGCTGAGGATGACTGATTACAAAGGACTGACAGGTGAGTGTGGTTAACAGGGAAAAATGACAGGTAACAGACTGAGGTGAGATGAGTGATGACACAAAAAGAACACAAAAGGGAGACAGCGCACAAGACACGGATCCCTACAGCAGAGTACTGCACCGGATCGGGTACCCATGGGTACCCAGCGGGTACCCGCAGAAAACTGTAATCTACGGGTTGAAAATAAAACGGTATTGTTTCACGGGTACGGGCACAGGTATAAATAAAGAAAATGCAGGCAGGTAGACAGTACATATGAATGAGCAAATCTATTCTGGCAGATCGGTAGTATAGCCGCCCTCCTATATATACGTCACCCTGTTAGCGCGATGGATGGACAGCAGCTAGCTAGCTAACAGCACGCTGCTGCGTCATGGAGGGAATACAGGCGAAAATAGCTTCTGGTGACTACCAAATAGCAGACAACACATCATTAAAAGCTAAATCGGATGTTTGGGAAAAAATTTGGCATCATTCGAGATGACAAGAACAATATTGTCAGTGGATTTGCAGGTTATAAAAAAATGTCAAAAGCTTTTAGGTTTTGATAGCCGCAAGCTAGGTACATCTTCGCTGAGGAAACACATCCCCAGCTGCAGGAGCACTGGTTCCGAGACAATTGACCGGTACTTCTCTAAGGACACAACCCTCAAACCCCACAGATGAGAGGACAAGGACACTGTAACAAAGTTAGCAGTGAAGTTTGTTTCTCTAGATATTCGATCTTTTGAGACTGTGTGCGGAGAGGGATTTATTGCACTAGCTCAAGGCTTAATTGACATCGGTGCCAGAGCTGGTCGTGTGGATGCTCAACAACTTCTGCCTGATTCAACCACCGTCTCACGGAGACTGACTAAATTTGCTGAGGATATCTGAGAAAGCATCATCCCGGAGCTGAGAAAGCAGCTGACTGAAAGCAGTGGAGCAGTGACCCTGGACATGTGGACAGATGACTACCGAAAAATCGGTTACCTGTGTGTGACATTGCATTATATCAACGACAGGTGGGAGCAAAGTGAGCGAGTGCTTTGCACATCAGAATGGGACAACACATTACGGAAAACAGTTGACAACCTCAGACCAGCCATCATGCAAGCGTTGCGTAAATACAGCCTGGACAAGTTCTTTTCTAAACTAGTCTATGTGACTGACAGAGGGGCAAATATTGTTGCGGCCCTACGGACTCTAACGAGACTCAGCTGTGCTGCACATGTGTTAAACACAGTGCTGCATACCACGCTAGGAAAACCTGCTGATGATGACGTCTTTGATGAAGAAGTGTCTGCTATMATCGACTCCGCTAAACTACTTGTGACTTACCTTACGCAGTCAAATCTCCAGAATTGTCTAAATAAAACACTGAAAGCCTCTGTGGAGACGCTCTGGAACTCTTTGCATGCAATGTTGGACTCCATCATTGTTCAGTACGAAGATGTTCGCAAACTTCTTGAGGAACGAGGGGAGGAAAACCGCCTTAATAACCTGAGCCCAGAGACTCTGAGTGACATTGTTGCATTTCTGTTGCCATTTAAGACTGCTACCAAAGCCCTGGAGGCGTCCATGACCCCGACCATTCACCTAACAACTGTCTGGTTGGACCGCCTAAAACGCCACCTGCAGCCATCATCATCAGACAGTTTAACACTTTCATCACTGAAGGAAAAATATCTCAAAATTCTTTTTTTTTCAGACATTCTGTAATTTATTTTTTGCACACATTTTTGTTAAGCAATATTCCTCAGTCTAGAAAAATATATTTTAGTGCACTATATTGACTCCCTCTGAAAACAAGCAGTGCTACATTTATGGCTGCAAGAAAGAAAATGATAGTTTCTCTGAAAGGGTACTCTGCTGTGGTGTATAAAAATATTTATTTCTGTATTAAAAAGACTTCCGCCTGATGTGGCAATTGTTCTGTCCCTGTGAGATCGCTGCAAAGCGAGGGGAAGCGTGAGACGAAACGTTGGCGGAGCAGCAGGAGATGTGGTCCACCCTGTAGGAGATGGAGTTGTAAAAGACAGGGTTACTGTGACCGCCTGTCCATTCATGGAGCGGCGGGGAGGTAGTGCCGCAAGCATCCAGCCCACAGCACATACACGAGAGCAAGGTCCTGAATCTGGAGGGCTCTGCGTCAGAACAGTCGGCTTCGATGAGTCTGTGATCGTCTGCAGGGAACGAGACGAAGCTGAAACAGCTGCAGCTCACGTCCATGGGAAGTCTGTGAAAACAACTTTGTCCTTCTTCATCAGTTTCCATCATATTTCCCTCCCTCTTCAGCTCCTTCAGCTG